ACACTACACATATCCCCACTGCCTCTCGAATCGCACAACCTTGCAGCTCTTACTCGCAAAGTGACTTAACAACGACGTTAAACGTATGAACTAGCAGTTGCAGCTGCGGTTCGGGCAATGGCATAGCCTTCCGCTGTGGACCGGTGAACTCAGGTGTCGGTTTAGGGCTCAAAGACTGTCATGCCTTTAGTACTACCATCATTAAAAAAGCAGAGTATTACTCGTTTGCTTATCTTATCAATCTAAAGTATAACGCAGGCTAGTCTACTCATTGAGCTCTTCTCGAGCACCAATATCAGTCCTGATCTCTAGACTACGCCCCCTATAAAACGCATGATCTCCATCCGGCCCATCGCCATGCATCTTCTACTAAGCTTCCCTGCAGCTGTGCCCTACGTGCGCCACTAATCTTGCGGAAGGTTGCGACGTCGTCTGTGAGCTGCTCCCGCAAACTTTCTCTGTGCGTCATCTATGCTTGCCGCGGATGGAGGAGACGCATGAACGGGAAGTGTGATTGCAGGATAGAGGTGGAAATGAAGATGAAATATGAGGTTTGATGGAGAGATTCTGGGGGGAGGGGGGGTGCGAAGAGAGAGATGGGAGTGTGAGTCTAGACCAAGGAGCTTGTTGAGTAGAGTTATAGCGTCTACGGTGACGTTGTGGGGATATGGGAAGCCATGCGCATACGAGAACGTTATATCTGTCCTCTTTCCGCACGCGCCAATTCCAGTGTTATATCAAGGTGGATTCGTTGCGTTGATCTACTTCTCGGGTCCTGATTGTTATGTTTGACCATATGAGATTTACCTGCTAACATCCCATTCACCTCTAACTGAACTGCACCTGAGTATGGAAGTCGACAAGTTCATGTATATAGGACGTGTACGTTGAAAACTTGCATTATAGTTACATATGTAAAGAAGTATGTGCAATGAGGTACGACGAGCTTTGTACTCCTACTTGTGCTTTTTAGCGCTTTTGAAAAATAGTTGAAATACGTACATATGTGGTTAACTCGTATTTGGAGCTAAAAACTACCCCTTGCTATGAAAACCCCGCCAGATAACTACACAGAACTGTTCAGTTTCATCCTCTAGACAAATCTAATACAAAACCACCCTAAAGCTAATCTCATACTAGAGCACTAACCCACGTAGTCTATAACTAAACTAATACTCGAGCATCACAAATACATCAAGCTAGTTACCACCTACAGTCTACTAACCAAACCTACGATCTTGACTAGAAGTCTTTAGATTGAATAGCTAAAAATTCACAAAAAAGAAGAGTAGACTCCAAGGGTTGGAATTCGGGAACGGATCGAAGAGGGGGGGAAATTGTGGCTATGTGTGTGTTCGCAATACAGTCGTTGAAGGGGTATATAGGAGGTGGAGGTAGTACGCGTCAAGGAGACGAAGATTATTTTCCGTGTGCGTGGTAAAGAAGCAATCTGTGACAGTCGACTGTGAAAATACATGAGAAATCCGGTAAATGCGGTATCTGCGTTGAAGGCTCGTCAGTCCTTCCTCTCAAGACCTCTACTCCCGAACACTCCCCTGTATCAACCGGATCATTTAAGGCCCAGTATCTAAGTTAACTCCTAGACCGTCTTTTAAGGAGCGCAATCTTCAATGACATACAATGGGAACTGCTGCAGTTCGGTTCTTATCGTCGCTTCGTTGGGTTTCTTAGTGTGAGCCACGGATGGTGATGAGTCTTGGATGCAAATGGCTCGTCGCCGACGAGTGGTAACGGGTTATGCACTCTATCTCAAGCGTTGTCGAAGTTTGGTTTTATGCAAGCAAGTGCCACGGTTTCGAGGTGCAATGAACAGTAATAAGCATCAAAGAAAACTTCTTCGTTCTCGACTGAGTCGTGCCTGTCGGGGCATCACATCAACCCACATGGCATGATTTTATTGCTGATCAACGCGGAGTGTAAACGATGACCTTGATGGTGTAGTAAGGTGTATTAGATAGGAAACAATTCTCTTTAAGTAAATCTCATACAGTATCTAGGATCTAGATGATGTCCAAAAAGACTGTGTAGAGAGGAGAAGAAGGTATGAAATGCGTAGTCGCGGGATCATGCAAATGAGCTTTGATATGCTGCTGATATTTTGGCCACGGGTGTATGGCCTCCACCGTAGTATATAGCGGCCGAACGACTTATTCTGCGCGTCGAAATAACAAGAAAATAATTTTCGGAACTGTGGGCATGATGCTCACTATACATATATAAGGTATGTTTAGAACTCGGATGAATTAGAAAATCTCCCTACTGCACATATGGACGAGGTTATACCAGTTCATCACGCACCAAAGTAAAGCAAGCCGCCCATACCAATGCGTTGGTACCGTAGTCCCTAGCCATTTGTGACTTCTCTAGCTTGCAACAAGTCTCCCACCAAGTCCTTGAACCCTTTGCGAACTGTCGGCACCGTGTACCGGAACCGGCGAAGTATCTCCCCCAAGCCCAAAAATTCCTGGAATGCCGCCATCGCCTCGCCCAGCAAGACCCGCACACTCTCATTTTTCGATATGCAAGCGATCACATCTGCATGCGACACCAGTGTGTCGGTCAAGTCCTGGTTGCTCTGGTAAGATTTGGGAGTGTATTGGGCGATCAAGGTGCGGTTCCATCTTGCGGCTTCGCACTCGTGATCTGCGTAGCTGTTGATGAGGTCCAATACATACTCGACATTGAGCTGTAGTGTCTCCGCGGGTCTGACAAGGGAGGCGTGGACGACGCTCTGGTCGCACTGGGCCGTGGTATTGAACTGATTGCGCAGACTCTTCTCGCGCAAGTAGCCGACCTTGTTGGCCAGCCATAAAAGCTCATCTTTCTGTGCGTCGGTGAGGATCGAGGTTTTGGGGTCGGAAGCAACGGACTCGCAGCCAAGGAGTGAGCACAGCCGCTCGGTGTCGGCGTGGAATGTGAAGGCCATGATTTCGATGAGGAATTGCTGGAGTTGGTAGGAATAGATGGAGGGTGGATCCCGGGGGATGCCTGCTTTGAACGGAGATTTGCTGAGTGATGTTGGCGATGGGTGAGTCGCCGGTTTAGTTTTGGGGAGGAGAGTATCGCATGATGAACTTGATGAAATAGGCGAAGTTTCAACTCTGGGAGGGATTGTACCGCACAATGAAGTCGAATACTGAGGTAAAGTTGCGGTCCTGAAAGGAGTAGTGTCGGCTCCGGATGAAGTTGAACGAGGGAATGTATTGTATGATAAAGTCGAAGAACAAGGCGGAGCTCCGTTTTCAGAAGGTTTCGTATCGCCAGACGAAGTCGAGTATTGAGGCGGAGCTTCAGTTCTGATGGTGGAAGTCGAGTAGCGAGGCGGAGGTCCATTCTTGGATGTTGTGTCGCTCGGAGACTTGTCCTTGGAATTTGCGTCGACTAGGAAATAATCCTCGAAGGATGCGCCGGTGGGGGAATTATCCTCAAAGGATGGGTTAGCCGGGAAGGAATCCTCGAAGGTGGTGTCTAGTGGAGCATAAGGGGCAGTGTCGTTAGAACGGCGGGCTCGAGCCGCTCGACGGAGATAGCGAAAGATACGAGCTGGGAGTTTGAACAACATGTTGTATACTTCTATCGCGTCCTTGGGGGTGAAGGGGGACGGATGTTGGGGGGTTATGACACGAAGTGAGCAATTTCATGGAAAATTGGATACCTTTAAAGAGTGGTAGACATTACGTCACGCAACCACATTTGCTGAGACAGAGCGGGCCTTGCAGCCTACGAGAACACGAAGATGTGTAAGATGTTTGCTAATACCTGGATAGGCTAGGAAGCAGAATGGGATGGTTGACGATAAGGTCCCCACTGTCCAGGGAATAGTTACGCGCTTTGGTCCTTGGGCAACGTTGCTTCCTCGTCCCCTGACTAGACGGAGAACATAGGCTTTGAGTTTACCACCTTTTCATCATCGTACCGCAACGATGCTCCCCACCCAGCAAGCGACCTCAGATATGCACATCATCATCATTTACCACAAACTACCTAGGTAACTCAACGTCGCAATACCCATCCCATAACATCCCTCGTCTTCTTTATGACATATAGCCGCAACGTAACAGTTCCACGGATGCCCCATTACACTCTGCCTACCAAACCCAATCCCATGCAACCATCAGACCCAGCTTTTATCTCAACCCAAACCCAAACCCAGCCCCATCGGTCGCATTTGTTCCCATAGTCAAACTCGTAGGCCCGCGGTTCATAGAGAAATCGGTACTTACAGTTCAGGACAACGAGCAGAGCGGCGAAGCGTGTGCGCAGCGAAGACTTATCTATCCATACCACCTAGGCATTCGACAACCAGCCCGCCCGCCCGATTGAGCGACGGTAACAGCAAGACTCACGGAATTGAGCGACTACAGTACTCCGTACCGTCATTGTCATTGCCATCATCATCGTCCACAACACCAGCGATTCGCAGTCGTCGCAAGGTCTCAGGATCAAGCATGAATTTTTTTTCTCACGTAGCTTGCTCGAGTATAGATAATCTCAGCGCAGAATCGCTTTAATATTCCCACATGCGCCCAAACACAGCTATGTAGATACATACTCATTCACTATGCAGCAACGCGACGTCAAAAGAGAGCCGAAATTCCAGAAACCCCCGTAGAACATTTCGAAACAGAATGTTTAACGAGTTACGAGTCACGCTGTGCACGAACGTGAAAAAGAGCCGAAATTCCAGAACCCGCGTAGAATTATTTCGAAACAGATTGTTGGAGAACGAGTCACGGGGTTGCATACATGCGTGCATGCAAAACAAAACGCAAACGCAATCCCGCCCGGCACTACCCTAGCGCCTCACCCCTGCCCCCTGCACTGTCCCCTGCACCGTCCCCACCTTATCTCAGCCTCACTCCCCACCGCACCTCACCTCCCCAATTTTCCCTCTCTGTAATTTTCTCTTCTATATATACCCCCCAAAACGGCAAACATTCATCAAAATCCCCACCATCACACTCCAGCAGTGTAGATTCCTCTCGATGGTGTAGTTGGTTCATCACGTTCGACTGTAATAGCTATTGTTATCGAAAGGTCCCTGGTTCGATTCCGGGTCGAGAGAACAACTTTTTTTGAGGATTCATTTTATTTTTTGGTTCTGCGGTGAGACTAGGGCTAGGGAGGGGGAACGGATGGGTTTTTTTTGGGCTTGGTGCGGGCGGGGTAAGTAAGTTGGAAAAACCACATCACATTTACTACTGGAAATGAAAGAGCAGCAACGGGGTTACGAAGCGGGCTTGTTGTGCCACTTATTTTACCGTGTAGGTGCTATAGAATTCAATTCACGCTACAGCGTCTTCTGTCCCTCCTACCTACCTACCTACTACCTACTAGAGGTGTTAGAGTTGGGTTGCTCTACAGCGTATTTCATTCACGTCCATCCAGTATGTGTTGCATATGCATCGCACCTTCTCTCATCTTATAAAGTCTGCTGTCTCAACTCAACTCCAACTCTGCGACACAAAGTCTCAGAGTTTCGAAAAGCGAGGATCTTGATTAGTCATAAAGTGGGAATCGGACCTTATCTTGTTTGTGGTGTCCGCCGTCTCAATTCAACTCAACTCGCTATCATGATCAACAGCCGGGCTATCAAGCAAGGCAGCCTTACTCGAGCATCTACATACATATACACATAAACATATGATGCACTTATACACACACGCGCATAGCCACATTAGCACATCAAACATTCAAGCAGCCCATTGAATTCATTCAATCGTTCAATTCACACTGGCTGGCATATGCGCACGATGACGAAAGCCACCTCGTCCAAAGCGCGCCCGTCCCGCCATCCATTGCCCCATACCATGATGCCTACTTACGGTCCCATACCCAACGAATTTCCTTCTTTCCAACCCTCATCGCCATCATCGCCACCAACCAAGCCAGCTACCCCCGACCCACTTCTTCTCCTCCTCCCCATATAATACAAAAACATCACAAAAATGCCCGCGCCCAGCCCAGCCCAGCCCAGCCCATGAACCCCCCCCCCCAGTAGAAAGACAGCGGGCTCGATACCATGAATAACAAGTAGAAGTGGAAAGTAGAAGAGAAAGAGAAAGAGAGAAAAAGGAAAGAACTTCGTCGGTACCATCAAGAGACCAGCCGTGAATCGTAAAGTAAAAGCGTGGTTTGCGTGCGTCGAGGAATGTTGGTTGGGGAGATGTATGAATACGGAGAGACGCGCACCGCATTACACCCACACCACAATACCAGGCCAGCGCAAGCCTCGCTAAACGCGTCCACGCATGCATGCAGTGTGTAAAAACCTCCTCGACTAAGCCAAACGTCCTGCGCCCCGCGCACATCGTCTGTCCCGCACCCCATCTACGAAGCAATCGCCCCAGGCTCAACATAGTACCGCGAGCCAATACTGCGCCGAATCTCATTACGCCGCTTCTCAGCCTTGCGCTCGCGGAGCCGCTCTTTGACGCCGCTGAGGCCAATATACTGAACCTGCATGTTCAGCACGGGGATCGTCTTGCCGCGGCGCCAGCCGTCGCGGCGACTCGCGCGGCGATCGAGGTCGAACGAGCCTGAGCCTGAGCTGCGCATGCTGCCCCTGGAGCCGCTCTTCTCGATGCGCGGGGAGCGGGTGCGCAGGGGCAGCGTGGGGGGCTGGATCATGATCGCAGGGGACTGGGCGGAGTGGTGCGATGGGCTGGGGATGTGCGGGCGGCGTTTGTTGGTGCCGGCTCTTTCGACGCCGAGCGAGTTGCCGATGAGGAAGCCGCTGGATCCTTTCAGCCCGCTTGTCAGTCTTCTGGTTAGGGTCACTCGTCTTCGGAGAGAAACGGGCTCTGGTTCTGGGTCTTCCACATCGCTCGTGTCGCCTCCGCGTGGCAACATGTCGTCATCGCTCTCGGAGTCGCTGTCCTCGAAGCCGTCCCAGAATCCACGGGGCCGCCAGAAAGGGTGTAGGGTGCCTTCTTCGTCGTTCACAGTCGGGATACGAGGATTCTCGTGGGTGTGCGAGTCGATGGCATGTCGACCACGAGTGCTGGATGCGCGCGCAAGTAGCGGCGAGATGAGGTTGTCCGAGTAGCGTCGAGCGCGCTGGACAAGGGATAAGCGGCGCTGAGGATGCGATTCAGAGCGCTTAGGAGGGCCAGGTGGAAGTTGGCGTTCGAGCTCCTCAGCCGGAGTCGGAGGGATGACCTTGAGACTGGGCGGCTCAGGCGGTTTGCGGGGATTCTTCAAAGGCGAATCGACTACACCAGGAACCGGGAGAGAGATCTGCATCGGAGGTGTGGAAGGCTCGAACGTCAGAGTCGGCTGTTGATATTGCTCCTCGAATCCTTCGCTGGCGTCCACAAAGGGTGGCGTCGGTACGGAAGCGGGCGGTGCGAAATGTGCTTCATTTACGATTTGTACCTGCATACTCGACCGCGGCGCTTGTTGCACTACCAGCACAGAATGGTTGTTGTGCGGATAAATGCTCACTGCAGTGGCTTCGCTGACCTCGATAGGCGTGTCCGAGAACTGCGAGAAGGGTGTGGTCTGCGCGAATAGATGGCGCGCCATCGCGTGCTCTTCAGTCCGTATTGTCGATCGGTCGAAACTGACACGCCTATGATCGTACCATTCGTGGCTATTTCGAGGGAATTCCTCCGTTGTCTGGTCCAAGCTGGGCCGTAGAAGGGTGTCTCGTGATGTGGAAGTGCGCTCCTGGCTGAGTGAGCTCCTTCTTCGCTCCTCAGAACGTCCGCGTGTTGAGAGTGATCCTCGTCGAACCGAAGGCGGGGCTTCGTTTGATGTCGCTCGCGGCCGTGACGTCGCCGGAGATAGGGACTCGTGAGGCTCTTGAGTATCGTTGGTGGTGGATGGCGATCCTTCATGCGCTTCGAGCAAGTGACGGACTCTTTCAAGTAAAGCCGAGGGAGGTCGAGTTTCGTCCTTGACGTCAGTCTCCTGAACCTCTGCGGCTTCCTGAGCATCAGGCTCTGCCGCCGACTGTGTAGGAAGTTCTGGCAATGACTTGTTGGTGTTTAGCGGGCTGGTCACGACTTCGGACAGCTTGCTCCTCGTTGGTAGCCTTGGTGAAATTGGTGATGGATCGTGGGCCGAGAAGCCAGCTGTCGAGGGTGATGTACGTTCGATTCGTGGTGGCCCAACGGAAGTGCTTACACTCCTCGGGCTTTGGGGTGGCGAATTTTTCAAGAAAGATGGAGGACCTGGAGATGCAACTTGTCTTTTTATGGTTTCTGGCGCGGAACCTATCCGCTTGTGGTAGGTTCGCTCGGGCCACTGAGAGCGCGTTAATGAATTCGACCTACTCATGATGTCGGCAGCAGGTTGTAGTATTCGTCGCACGGACTCCTGGTGAGCAAGGGTGGATGCTGCACTATCCTGTCTCTGCTTGCGAATAGAGAGTGGAGATCCAGTACGCTCGAGACCCAACGTGTCGGACTCAACGCTCATTCTCTTTCTCCGGTCACTGATACTTGCCCGCTTGTGGATGAGTCGGTGGAGCGGGACATCTTCTGAGGTCATCGAGTTCCTGTGCGAAGGAGTTGCGGAACTGTGATCGGTCGGTGAGTCAGGGTCTTTTCGGTATGCTAAATTTTTCCCAGAATGGCGCAATGTTCGTCGCCGTTGCGGGGGTGTTACAATGACCATAGCCTCGACAACCGTTGAAGATAATGATGAGCTAGAACGACGCTGGGACTCCACATCGTGGTCCTGACGTTTCGGCACCCCCTGAACCTCATCTGGCCAGCCGATTGAATGTGCAAAATTCTCAATAGATGGTGTAGCTGGGCTGTTTTTGCTTGCTTCTACTCGATCGCGGAGGCCCGAGTGTCGCCGTGGAGTGGATCCCGCTGGTGGCATCGTAGTGTCTTCAAAATTCTGGCCCTTTCGAGGCGACGATTTCGAGTTTCGCTTCTTACGAACTGTGACATTCCTCATCATAGCTGTATTCCATTCTCGGTTCGGAATATCCCTCGCCCCCGAGAGCATGTCGTCCTGTGTCCCCAAGTCTTCCCTTACATCCTCGGGAAGCATGAATGGTGTCTGCGTCGAGTAAGTCGTCGGGGTGATATCATTGTCATCCTGCTCAAACGCCAGCCCTAGTCCGCGGTCCTCATTCACTGTGCTCAGCCTATCCGCCAACGGGGTGCTTGTTCGACTGTCGCCTCCATCGGATGAAAACTGGTCTTCTCTTGCAGTCTTGAAAGATTCAGCCCTTGACGAGGGAACTGGAAAGAGGATTGGGCGCGATGGCATCTTCATAGACTCGGTTGTCCGCGGTGGACTTGGGTCGGGTGTCGGTGGACTACGCTGGTTAACCGGGGTACTGAGGCTTGATTTCTTCGCCATCAGCGACGATACAACACCATCCGCGTGCGGTGGTGGACTGAAACTCGAGGGGGGTGCTTCGTCTTGTGAGTTTGAGGGCGGCGTCGGCGGCAGACCGGTGTCTGCGCCGTTCAGCAGGCCAGGCGATGCGAGGGGTGAGAGTTGCTGGTAGCTGATCTGCGACGCGGTGTCATCGTCGGCGAAGGATACGGCGTGCTTGAGCGGCTGCGCAGCGGGGAGGAAGCTGTGCAGGTCGTCTCGCGGGCGCGTGAGCGGTTTGTGAGACCGCAAATTCGAGGACGCTTGGAACGACGACTCGAGCAAAGCGTAGGCGTTTGGCTGCAGTTCCGGCATGGTCGGGCGCTGCACGTCTCCGAGAGCAAGCCCCAGTCGAGTGTATTCGCTATCTGCCCACGACGGATCGATGTCAGGCTGTGGTCAGTAGCGCGACGAAGTGCGCTCCCGTGCAATCCGAACCTCAAACAGCCATCCCCGAGAGTCGCAGGACGGCCAGTGTAGACTGCATGCACCGCGGACGGAGCTGCTTCGATGTCGCCACGTTTCCGATGGGGTTGTGCGGCTATCCGGACGGCGCAGGCTGCACGACGATGGTGACGCAGGGAGCCTGGAGCGCGAGCGCCAAGGACACGGTTCGGGGGCGTGGATGCGGCGGCGACGCGAGGTGCAGCTGTTCACTGCGAGTGCAGCGCAAGAAGCAGAGCGGATTGTCGAGTTCGACTGCTCGCTCGGGTGACCAGGCGT